ATGGCACAGCACCTCCACTAGCAGAAAACTTCCTGAGCTTCAGCTGGACTTGGGAAGGGATTTCCCAAAGCCTCTGCCCTTCGTGGCTGCCCCCAGCATGCAGCAGTGCAGCACTGCTGAGCAAACTGGCAGATGGAAAACCAGCCCTGGTCGATGGCCTTGAGCAATCAGCACCAGAGTCCAAAGGAGGCGTGAGGCCATTAAACTCCAGACAGAAACACACCTGCTGAGGCAGAGGAGGCAGCATGGTCCGTACTGCCCCAAAGTACTCTTGGCTGCAATTTTAACTATCAGAGGAAAAAATCATGCAATGGTATTTTTTTATGATGCTGGGAAGGAAAAATGGATGGTTGGGACCTCTTATAAAAGGGGAGAAGGTGTGTCCCCTTGTGTGCTTACTCTAGAGGCAGCTTCTGTACAGGAAGAATTCCCTTCAAAAATCCAGTAGTTAAGAATTGAAACTTGCATGCTTTTATTTGATCTGAATTTCTTGACCTTTTACAATAGATGTTCTCACAACATTGTGGAAGAACTGCAAACTCCCAAACTCAATTTTCTGGAGTGTTTTTGCTGTCCCTGTAACATTCTGACTCTTGGAAAATGAGCTAGTCTGCTTAGCAGGGGAAAAAAAAACCAACCAACCCAACAAAAAACTCAAAGAAAAGCACCAGACTCCCCAAAATGGGACTCTGATCTGGGCCAGAACGAATACTCTGTACAACGCATACTATTCACACAGTGGGTAGAAACAGCTGCTTTRGACTTCCAGAGCTGTGGCTGGCTCCATCTCCCAGTTGTTTGCCCAGAGAACTGTTTGAGCTCCTTCTCCATCAAACAGTCCCAGTGCAGCCTCTCTTGGCAGGTGGATGTGGAATGCTGAGATGGTCCTTTGGAGAAGAGCTCTAGGGAATTCCATGGCTCCACGGCTCCACACCACGAGGTCACAATGCAGGGGGTGGGTGCTCAGTGCTTGGCAATCTGTCAGCACTCGTGGCAGCCGATGCGGGTTTGTCCTGGATCCCCCTGGGCAGGGCACCGAGGCAGAGGTGCCCAAGTCACCCCAGCCAGGTCTGCTCTGGGACCCAACGTGTGCCAGGGGAGCGGAGGCCCAGCTGGGACCACGGGGCCATGTCRGGTGTCCACTACAAGTTTTCCTCCAAGCTGAGCTATGATGTTGTCACATTCCATGGCCACAGCATCTCCCTGGGTGACCTCAAGCGCCAGATCATGGCCCGTGAGAGGCTGAAGGCAGCCAACTGCGACCTGCAGATCCTCAAAGCTGAGACCAGTGAAGGTAAGTGGGCTCTGGGCACGGGCCCCGGGGCTGCCAGGGGCAGCAGTGCAGACCAGTGGACAGTGCCACAGGCTATGGGAGCTCTGCTGTGCCCTGGAGACAAAAGCCAGGGTGAGAAAGCACAATGGTACATACAAAACTGGCTTTTACAGCTCTAAAGGGATTCTCTGCTGTGCCATGGAATACCATGTCAATATTCATTCTTCCCAACTGACTGACACCTCTTCTCCATTTGTGTTTTTCTCAGAATATTCCAGTGATGCCCAGATCCCAAAGAACGTCTCAGTGATTGTGAAGAGAGTCCCAGCTCGAGCTRTGTGAGTATCCATGAAGCACTGCATTCCTTGAGGGGGATGTCAGGGTGTGAACTTGTTTACAGAGGCACTTGGACGGTATCTGGTGAAAGCTGCTGTTCATTTCTGTTTTCTTGGGGTAGATTTTGATGTATTTGCTCCAAAGCAGACTCACATTGTTATGTTTGAGGGGACATGGGGTTCAAACTGCAACACTGCTAAATCCTAAAATGTTTCTCTTGGTTTTGTTCTTGGCATGACTGGGCTGAGAGCCAAGTTGCAGATCCTGTTTCCTCCACATGAGGAGAATCCAGATTTTATGTGTTTGCGTTTTTTGTCTTTACAGTAATGACAGGTACACAGTGTAACAATTAAATATTATTAAAAACAAACTTTTAATGTTTTGTCATCTAAGTAGAGTCTGGTTGTTAGTATTTGACTCTTTCTTGAACTGGGAGAGGTGGGTTTGGAGTCTGTGGGATATATGGCAGGTATCTTGCACCCCAAATTTGGGCCTTTGCACACTGCCTGTAGAAGAGAGACCAAGAATTCTGAATGCCTCAGTGTTGTGCATCTAAACATGGCTTTGGTTTGGGTTGACAGAAGTATGGATGCTTTGTGCTGCCCTGTCACAGCATCCTCCCTTTCGGGCTTGATGGCACCTCACCTGGTGCTGTGATGCTGCCCTGCAATGAGAGGATGGATGCTGGCAGCATCCACATCMCATCAGTTCCTCTGTGTGACGATCATGAGACAATGGCTCTGCAGTTGCAGCGATGGCAATTTCCCAGGCAGAGGAGATTTCTGTCCCTTCAGCTGCAAACATGGCATAAATATCTGGCAGAGCGGCTGATGTGTGGCAGAGATGAGGGTCTGCTGTCACGGGAGTTGCGTGTCTGATTCCTGAGAACTTGAATCAGACACAGATCACCGAGTATGTGGAATCTCAGCAAGTTTGCAAATGTAATAAATAGCTCCCAAAATATTGTTGCATTTTCAAGAACACCTGAAAGGAAATCCTGCCAATTATGACTCTTTTTTTTTCCCCACAGGGCTCCTAAATTGCACCAGTCCCTAGGAAAGGCTTCCAGGTGACCTT